CTCTATCTCTGGTGTATATGCCGCTTTTCAGCTATCCAGAGCGTCCCAAGTCGAAAACCGGTGAATAGTCAAAACCGAGACTTCTTATTTTCGTTCCTTATTGACTACTGTACTGTTGACTAGCTTCTTTCCTTCTAGAGGCGCAGATAACATTTATGTAGTCTTGCGCGAAAATTCTAGATAGACAAACAGACACTTCAGAGATGATAAAAACAAAATAGTTTAAATATCATAGGAGAAAAAATCTTATTGCCAAGTTCATATAGGGTATAAACGTTTACTTGAGAATGAATAGTTCTTTAGCTTGGAAATATGTACATGTTCGTTATCATGTAAAATATATCCATCAAAACCTTTATTTTTCGGATTTATATGCTTGAGGAATGGAAATAAAAAATAAATGTAGTTAGATTTATACCTTTTTCTTTTACCACTACATCGTTTAGGACTACAGAAGATGTCGCGTCGATTTGGTTTAGCCTTGGTGTTTCTTCTTGCCACCACCAGAGTGCTGGCACGAGTTGCAGAGGAGCTTGACTGTAGGTACGTTATCGTAGCGATAGATTAGGCTAAGGGCAATATGCTTCAGATAAGAATGTAAGATAAAATACTGCCTCTTTCTCTCTTTTTATTTTTTTTTGTTCAAATAAAATCCAGAATCTGAATATTCATAACTAACATGGGATATGAAATTTCATATTAAATTCTACAATAAACTAGTAAGTCACCCGTGAAAACTCGCGGGAAACAACAACTATGCCAACAAGTTGTATCAATTTTGTTTTGGATTACCACCAGTTACATATTTGGTCAGTTTTCAAGATATCTGTACAGCCATTCCAGAGAACTTCAAACTCCCTTGACACCCTATTAGTGGTCCGAGTATACAAATTTCAGAAATATATATGTACGTAAAATTATTCTTTACATGTTCGTGCCAATTTGCATGTAAATTCGTGGGTCCAACACTGAAAACTTTCAAAGTCTGAATTTAGATTAAAGTGGCCATCATTCGTGGGCGAATGCAACGTGTCCCCGCCACACAATCCTAACATGGACAATGTTGACACCAGAAACATCGAAAACTGTCTATATCCCTTAACCAACTTACATGTGTATGTTAACCAACTTACATTGACTTTGGTACAAAGATACCTTTTTGCAGATCCCAAACGAAGTACTCTGAATAATTCACAAAAATCCCAAATTGTGATTCCTCCAAAAAACTGAGCAAAAGTAAAAAATTCCAAAATTGTTTATATCTCTATTGGGGACCTGCAAAGAGAATCTTTGTACTAAATCCCATATAAATTGCCAAAAACAAGGGTAAGTAATTGACCAAATCCTTTAATATTATGGGTTTATTTAACCTTTTGACACCCCTTAAAATGACCAGACATAAGCATGTCCCATATTTTTGTTTGTCAATGTGTGGGACCTATAGAAAAGTATCTTTGTATCATATTCCATGTAAATTGGTCAAAATACGGTCGAGTAATTGACCAATGCTCCCAAATTGTGCTTTTGTTAAAAATCGTTTAAAAAATCTATCCAACTAGTATCACTTTACTTGTTTGTGTAGTTTTTATTGTAGCATTTATTTTGTTTTGGATACTTCTTAAAGCAATTCTACAAATAACCAAAATCCCTACGTTCCGTTAAAATTATATGCATATTTTTCCATATATAATAAAATTTCTTAATAACCTTTCTATTTTATACGGTTGTCATTTTTCAAATAATTAATTCTGATTTTCAGAGAAGTATATTTATGTCATAAAGACATTATGGTACAAAAACAAACAAACAGACTCATTACTTTTAAGCATGATATATATATATATACACACACACATATATATATGAACCACGACACAGATTCAACTGTATATATATATGATAATTACTACAGGTATCTAAACTGCACCTGTCACTTGAAGCTTTGTTGGACACGAAGTAATTAAGATCGATGAACAAAATGGCGCCTAAGAAGCATCCTTAATGTTAGACTATTATATCTCGCGACATATATATATATGTTATCTCAAAGAAAGCTCTGGACGAAGATGAAGACAAGTGAAATGCGAAAATGAAAAACGAACTTGTAATTCCCTAAGATTGTCAACTTACGCTTGATATGGTACAAATTAACACCGTACTTTTAAAATAAGTTACCAGTCTTTCGTTGTTATTGTCAATTTAAAACAGTAATAATACATCACCTTAGTAATGACAAATATGGCCTGCCGAAACTAGTCGTTTTTTTATGTTTTATTAATTACCTTATCATTTGTGCATTATTGTGATGATGTATTATTACTGTTTGTTATAAATTTGCGCAAAGTACTTCTCCATCTTAAAATGTGAATTTAGAAGTTAGATGATTGCTGACCGATCTTATGAAGTTACACTATTAGTTTGGACCAAAGATAAATAGTTTTTTTTTCGTAGGATTTTGTTGGCTTTAACAAAATATCGTAATTCTAATGTTTAAATACAACCAGAGAGAGATTATCAGGTGATGTGTTGAAATGAACACACATACTATACTCGCGTTCTGCTACGGGGTTCAAAGGCTCTTCCAGGATTCACAGAGGTCCCCAGAGAACGGGATAGACTGTTCTCTTATAACGCACATATAACTAAAAGTTCGGAGCGTGTTAAGCACCACCACGACGTGAACCTTAGACCTTCCGATACATAACATGGAACCCTAACCATTTGGTGACTCTCTGAATAATTGGTTAGCGGAAAAATAAATAAATTAGGAATTACCAGGGGCCGATTTAGAGAAGGCGGAGCGAGTGTATAAACCCCCTTTAAATTGTGATTGATTAGAAAACATCTTTCGCGCATGCTCCTTTTTACCATGATGACCTACAGACTGCAGTGATTATCAAATTTAACAATATGGTAAAAAAAACTACAAAAAATACCTTTCCCAGACTCACACTTGCCATTAAACACATTTGGCAATTTTGTTTCAATAAACTGAATCTCGCGAGAAAGCATGTGACATTGCGAAAGGTCAGCAAAAGTTTAAACGTGGACAAGCAGCAGAAGACGCTGAATAAATTCTGAACTATAAAGGGTATAACTGTATACCAATTTTTTGTGTATTAGGAGATATCAGGGGCGGATCAAGGATCATTATATATTATATATATATCACTGAAATCCCGCCCTCCCCTCCTTAACACAGCCTCCTCACTAGTCTTTATACAGAGCTCATTAGTAATGTTGAACCACTGACTAGAGGGAAGACATTCAATTATCACCAGCCTACTACCTACCATCCATAACTCTGTTACAGGCAGAACGATGGCTACACCCACTTTGAGGTTGCAACGTGCCAAAAACCACCAAGTGTTAGAATGTTATACAGCTCATTCCTACCTTATTTCCATATTTTTGGTGCTCCCATTCCTATTTCCTAATTTTATTATTTTAAGATTGTTTACACTTGTCTCATAGATTTTTTGGTACTAAGTCTCGAGAATGACTGGACTTTAGGCCTATCATTCTCGTAGCTTTTCTTGGTATTAAGTCTCGAGAGTGACTGAGCTCTAGCCCTATCCTTCTCGTAGCTTTTATTAGAGCTATCTCTCGACATTTTCTGGCTTTGTTTATATCTTTCCTATATTTTTCTTCCATCTATCCAGGGTAGCACTCTTTTCTTTATCCGGATGAATGGCTAAGGCTTGTTTCACATATTCAGCATTACTGTTTCTCACCTTATCTCTATTCTTGCAGTAATGCTCTATTCGCTGGGACAAAAACTTTTCAAGGTTATCAACATCAGAGTTTCTCCTTTTCTCTCGTTTTGTTTCCTTGAAAGGCATGTTTTAACAATCGTACTGTTTCAAGTACAACCTTAGATGTCAATAAGTCACACTTAGTGTGAACACAATGCAAAGGTTAATTATACAACTTATCATTTTTGTTTTCAGTCCAGAGCACTCGGGCAAAGCCGTGCCAGACTTTGGCAGCGATAGCGTTCGTCCTTACGTTTTACGCACTGACTGTTATGATAGAATTGCTTTGTCCAACACAGAACCCTCAAGTCAGATGTATAAAACTAAAAACTTCGTTTCCTAAGGTTAGATCTAGGGAATATACGTAGTCCACATTTTTCTATTTAGCTGATACAGCTGCAGGCTTATCAAGTTGCATGTGCACATAAGCAATCGTGCACTCGCACGTGATATGAGGGCAGGTTGTTACTTGGCAACTCACAGAGCATGCGTGTAATCATAGAATATGGGTACTAGTGTATTGTTAGCTCGTTGGTAGTGTTGCAAAATGGTTATTGTTGTTACTTGTTATTACCAAAGTTATAAGTAAAAGTAAGAGAAATGCTTTTAGTCCAGGTAGCGTAATTCAATCACACGCATTTAGATTTGCGTAAGTTGAAGGCAGATTGACAAATTTGTGGTTTTGTGAAATTTTTGTTTTTACTCTACCGACTTTCTTCAGTGCTTTGGTGGCTTGTTGCTCTGCATTTGGTTTGTTTGCTACTCAGTGTGTGTAAAGTGCTTATAAAGATTTGTTTACATGCTGTTTGAAGCCTGTTTGAGATTTTAATTTGTATTGCACATCTGGCTCATTCCTACTATAAATACTACCATACTTATGATAAGACATTTAGTTTTCGATAAACAAACTGATATAGATAGATAAATAGACAGGCCCTTAAACAATACAGAAACTCTCCTGGTTTTCTGTTTTTATAAGTCAGAACATTAATGAATTTACTTGAATGACTTACTACCTTCTCTGTAAACAAATACATCCCCCAAACAGCTTGATAACAAAACGCAAAACAAGCTTTATAATTGCAGGGGTTATTCGCTGATTAACAAGTTATAAAGATTTTTTTTTCTTTGAGGAAAGTTTCATAAGATATTCTACCAAATTAAGGGTATTTTCATTTTATTCGTGGCAAGTGGTTTGCTCTATATTCATATAGTTAACGATTTAAAAGAGAACATCACATCTGTCAGTTTTCCTATCATTCTATACTCTGTGTCTGAATAAGCCTAGTTGTTTTATATTGTGTGCAGTGTATAATATACCTAGGAATTCAATAAACTGGTTTTTATTAGGATCTCTCCATGATATGGGCTTAGTTCTACTTTACATCCCAGACAAAGAAAAATCAACGCCAGCTTTCATAACCAATTCATCAATTTTATTGACCTCAATTTTCTTTTCGTCCACTCTTTACATAATTATCTCGCAATTTTTTATGTTGTTTTATTTTTTAACCTTAACTTCCGCATGTGGAGTATCTATGACAACCTATCCTAATAAATAGATAGAATAACTCTTAGCGTGGTAAGAATGCGCAGTCTTCACAATGTCTTGAAAGGTTCAGATGCCAGTTTCAAATATGCATAGGAAACCTTCCAACAACTTAAAATTAATAATTTCCTTGTTCTAAATTATTTGGTGAAAATACTGTATTGGCCCGATTATAAAGCGATGTTTTTGAATTAATAATTAGGCTGTAAAATTCATAGTCCCCTTATAATCGCGGCCGACCACAGGCATCTCCCCCATACTCCCCCTGTCACATTCCTGAATGTCCAGATAGCATCCGTCTACGCATGTGCGACAGATGTATGCTCAAGATCATCGCTAATTCTTGCAACTAATCCACTTGCAAGCTGTTTAGTTATAGTATTGATTTTGCTGGTGCATTATTGCTTGGACTGTGCTTGTTTTAAATTTTATAATAATTGTTGTCTATGAGTCTCATTTTAGTGATCAACCCTTGTGCAAAAATTAGTGACAACATTGAAAGACAGGGCACAAATAAATGTCAAATTAACAAAGGATTACGACGGAGTTATGATGCAAATATTAAAATTATGGAAGTGCTTGAGGCAGAAAAAACGAACAATTGTACCGCTGCTAGAAAATATGGTGTAACTGAAAACATTGTGAGACATTGGTGGAAACAAAAGTCTGAACTCCTTAATACACTTTCTACAAGAAAGGCGTATCGCAGACCTAAAAAAAAGGACGTTAGAAAACCAAACTTTTTCTTTCCCAAGAATTTTGAAAATGGAGGTCGCCTTATATTCGAGATCGCTCTATAATTGGACCAATGCGGTAATTCGAAGTCCTGTCCATGTTGCGATAACAAATTATTTTATTTCTTCCTTAAAGCTTCTACAGACTCGTCCACTGTTGTAACTTGTATCAACTTGTAGGCTTAAGTCTACAGATGACGTTCAAACGAAAACACTCAGTTAACGGCATTATAATTAAAGATAAACTTACTTGTTCAGTTTCACGGATAATCGATCGAATAACTGAACGATTATTAGTTCTGATTGAAATACTAAACTAAACTGACTGACTAACACTCTTCTGACTCAATACTCATTCACTATTCACTTCTCACTGAAAGCAAAACACTGGTTCTACTCATAACTTTGAAAAGATATACAGACCAAGACACAAAACATTTTTATGTATGTATGTCAAGCAGAATTTGGCAGAGAAAGCGATCAAAAACGTAAATGTCAATGTTGGAAATTGTATGTTTACCAAAGATTTGTCTTAATTAAGACGAGAGATCATTATAAACCTAAGCAAAAACTTAAAAATTATTTAAAACAAAAAGTCAAGAAATGTACAGCCACAAAAACAAGAAAAGGCATTAGCTTTCCATGGTATTGTTGTAGCATTGTTTGTTCTTTCGTTGGCATGTTCTTTTAAATTTTCTGGTGAAAAAGATTCAATCTTCGGTCTACGTAACAATGACAAATTAGTTTATTTCTTCCTTTAGCGTTTCTACAAGTTTAAACTTGTGGTACGTTGAAGGCCACATTTACAGCCACGATAAATTTATTACACCATCGTAAAAATATACTTACTTCTACAAAGTAACTCAATATACGCGTTAGTTAACACGGATTCAAACCCTTCACTAAAAACACACCAACTGATTCACCCTATCGACTATAAACAACTCGCTATCTTATTCGAGTCTGGTATTTATAATCTCTTTGACAACAAATCCTAAGAACTTTCTAAGCCTATATTGTTACTTTCGATCTTAACGTTATTATTACGACCACAGCTCCGTCTAGGTAACAAACAAGTTACTACATTCAAAATATAGCTTAGGAAACCAATAATTATTATATATGAAACATAATATTATCTTCCCAGCATCGGGACATAGAATTATCTGGCACTGGAACAAATTAACTACCAACACTGAAGCATAGTGTTATATGCTCAGTGTTGTGAAAGAGTGGTAATTATCCAGCGCTAAACCACATTGTTAATTACCCAGAATCAAGTAAAGTAAACATTATGAATGTTATGTTATTTCTTTTGTGTTTTTACAGCAAGTACGTATTTGCGCCCATATGCCGTGGAGTTAGTGCTAAAAGATCTGGATCCCACATATCCAAGCACCTTTCAAGGTATGTTTCTGATATTTGTTTTACGTGCTTAAACGAGTCACGTGCATACAACAACACCAAAACATAATGCTATCTGTTCAGCAAGTTGATTGTTTTTTAAATTGTTGTTACTGTTTTCATACTTACATCACTATTGTTGTTACATTCGTTTTTCAAATATAAGTTTCCATATTTTACCTATTGATCATAACGCGTTAGAGGTCTAATGCCAGGTTAAATCTTTCACTGTGTTGTTTTTTTCTTCGGCAAGCAATAAGGGCGGGTGATTAACAAGTATGGTGTGAATTACAACAAAATAGTTAGTTTATATGATATTGCTGAAATCTAAATAGACCTAACAAAAATATTCAATATCAGTATACCCTGACGGTCAACTTAGCATAAACACGTAAAAATTCACTAGTTATTATTTGACATTTCAGTAGGCCTAAAGGAAGCATTTAGCTGATTAATGTGATGTAGTGATATTCAAGCCTAACAAGTTAAAGCTATAAGTATTTTATAAGATAAATATAACATGACCTTTATTTCTAGAATAGCGTCTATATTATACAAAGTGGGTATATTTGTGCCATATGCGCTACGCATGCGAAGATAGTGAAATTATTAGAGAGGAGGAATATTACCAACCATGACGCAATTTTTCCACCATTTTATCCCTGATAAACATTCCGATTTTAACACTCTAACCCAGTTTAGAGTCAAACATGAAACTAACAATTATGTAACTATATATTTAACAAAGATTAGGCTACGTTAGAAGAAATAAGTTAAGCCTACCCTGTGCCGAAATGAAGATTGTTCGTAACAAGCCATGTTTATCACGAGACACTAACCAATCAGTGTTAGTTACGGAAATAGCATATTGTGATTGAGACTCAAATTGGAAAATACTAAGTTCAAAAACACATGATTATACATGCATTGAAATCGCATAACGATTGGCGTAAGTATAGCCACTGCATATATTATATTGTAACTCAGTAAGTCGCCTTTCGATAAAACTCCTGAAGAGGCTATAAGTCAATATCGAATTATAATAAAAACGGTGTGCTGGAGTTAGAGTTCGTGTTGTTAAGTCTCCGTTTGTTAATTGATTTTCCGTAACTTCGTTCCGACGAACCTTTAGCGACACAAGTCCTT